ATCTATCTATTTGTCCTCTTTCAAATTCTTAAAACAACTTCTTTTGAAAAATTGGGTATAGGGTCATGAAAGTATGTTCTTCGAATGAAGTATAATGATATTTTAACAAAATTTAACCTTAGGCTGCTTTCATTGATTAAGGGGTAATACTTCTTACCTCTTTCTTTTAATAGCATGAAGACGATCAAATGCTTAAGTTAGCCTGTAACTGTTTGCGTGGTCATAAGGGTCGAATTCATTAAAGATTTTCAAGTAACATATTTTGTTGAGAAGATGCAAAGATCATCTAGCTTTAGATTTTTTTATTTAGCTTGACATACTAGTTGTGTTTGCATAAGGAATTCTTGAGCTCTAGTATATATCTGATAGCTTCCTGTAGTTAAAAATAATATTAAAAAACGGCTATTTTGACTCAGGTTAGAGTCAGTTAAACTAGATGTAAATATAGTTTTACTTTAAACTTTTCTTATAACTTTTCATTTCCACACTCTTTAAACAGTTGATATACAATTAAATTACTGTTGACTAACGGATATTTGAGCAGGAATATTTGTTGAAGGTGGGTTTCATTAAAACTAGCCATCTTGAAAGTGGGATTTGGGTATTAAAAGTTCTGTTAGAGAGTTCACATTCAAAACCGGGAAGTGAGTAGAATACCGTCTGTGTTGCTTATCAGAAAATGTTTGACTGTTGACACAGCTATGTTGACCGTGGACACAGATAAGTCCTTGAAAGGGGACAGTCAGACTACAGAATTGATATGCTATTATGTAGCATAAGGACTACGATACACCACACCCCAACATGCTTATTTAAAATCGGAAATGATCAGTTATTACTGAAAATTTGTAAGCACTCTTTCTTTTGGAGGATTATAACAACACTTGGAACCATTTTGGTCTGCATTTGTCAATCGATCCTGAACTTCATACTCTCAAATTATGTGCAGGATTTCTGGGATGTTTATTTATGAAAATTGAAATGCATCTGTTCGACCAAGTAAGTGAAAGATGGAATTACCCATCAGAAAATGGACTGTTGTCAACTTGTCATGCTTGCCAAAGAAATGTAAATCTAGATCAAGAACGTAAATTTTAATGTGAGTACTTGAACTCTTTGAACAATAATATGTGATGTATGCAGTGATGTTAAAGGCAGTTTGAGAAATGTTTGAGTATGAGAACTGCAGTTGCAATCTTCAACTTTGCATGATCCGACAAATTTTCCAGACTTTCAGTACCATTTAATACCGCACAGGTGTATCTATAGACAGACTGTGTTCATAAAATATGTCAGGAAGATAAAATGACTTCACCGTTGGTGTGCGAGACTTGTGACCCCTTTGTAAACTTTATTGAAGTATATTGTGAAATAACCTCCCCAAAGAAATCAAATTGATGACAGCTATGGTTTATCTGTCGAAATTCTAGCCTCCTACAGTAGAAGTGACCTGCAGTGAAGGTCAGACAGATTAAAAAAGTCAACAGAGGATAATATCCCATAATATCCAAAATGTGTTTCCCTAGGATTGTGGGACACTGACAAGGGAATTTGTTGACTAACAGACCTGCATTGATGGTCTGTTTGCATGCAGGGGTCAATGATAATGTGTTTGTTTGGAACCTGGATTAATAGCCTGGATTTTAAGTGTCAGTAATTAAACGATAACATGTAAAGTCCAGAGATGGTAACGAGAACAGGTCAATGATTTGTAAGGTTTTTGTACCGTTAAAAAGAGGAATATATATAAAAAACAGAATTCCGTGTGTGAATGAAACATAATGAGTTTGATAATGAAGGATGATGTTATATATTTGTGGGCAAATCTCTCATGAGTTTTCTGGATTGAATTTAACTGAGCGGAATTTATCATTATATCATATTCGACATGATGTTGTCCATTCCAGGTGAGTTTTTCTCATAACTGTATGTTATTGTTCCTTGACAATAATGTTTCTCTTGCGGAAGACACAAGATAAGACGTTCCTGATTTTCAGTGACAAGTTAGCAATCAAACAGTTCATAGGTCAAGTAAGAACTCTTTTCTTAATACGAAATGTATGTTTTATTTTTTTTCCCATCATGCACCTGAAGATATGATGCAGATAAGAAAAGATCAATATAATCAATCAATTAACATCACTTAACATGATTTTTGAAAACAAATTCTCTACCAAAATCCGTTGTTTACTTAAAATTTTCAGCAGTTCAGACATTTAGTCTACTACAGATTAGAAAAATTTCTATTCCTCCAAAGTCTTGGTACGACTGAAGTGTCGTCTGCTACTTAAACTGTCATCATTATACAGTGAAGATAGAGTTCTGCACTCCTCGCCCCACCCACACATGCTAGTGGTACCACCTGACATTTTGTTACAGACCAGCTTCCCCTAGAGACAGGCGTCACAGATTCCTTCTGACATTTTAGTACCCAAGTGATTTACATGTTTGAACTTTTTACCAATAAATCTGAAATTGAATCCTTGGCTACTTGATTTGGTGAGTATGCTTTGGATTTAAGTGGGAGTATCTTCAATGTTCATTACACGAACACTGCAAATTGTTAAACAAGATAAAAATGCACATCACATGTCACCAAAGGGTTTGAAATAGGCACTGTCAAACATTTGTTTAGCAAAAACCTATCTATAAATACCACTTGTTCTCGTTTCCCGTTTGAGTGACCTTCAAGACAGGTTTGACAGTATTTACTACAAATCTATAGTGACAGAGCTGATTATGTTCTTAATCTACCAAAAGTAAATTAAAATTGAATATCTATATTTTAAATTAATATTTGAAAGAATATGCGTTTTTGTCTTTTTTGATGAGATATAAATAATGATTCATTGGTCCGTGATCACGATGTTCCACTTTAATGTAACGTTAGAAAAAGTATGTACGTACTTGTATTCTCCCATAACCGTTCTAATTTAATCGAGATTAATGACTGATTTGTTTACGTTTGAAATATGATAGAGGATTATGGGTAGGCAATCTGTTTTAGTGATTTGTTTGAAATTGATATATACATGTCCATTTATTGCGTATGATATGTCGTAAATTATTTATCGTACTAATGTGATTATGTGGTAGAATTTTATATCGTGTTAAGAGGATTTTAATGAATATACCATTATACGATACTAAAATTCCAAAAGTAAATTGGAAGGTGACCAACATAAGCATATATACTGATTGCCATTTATCACTTGAATCAACATGTTTAAATTAATGTGAGAGGATTGATGATCCAGGAAAAGAAGGGGCAGGGGGGATATGTTGCGTCCTACAAAATAGAGTGCCAATGCCAAATTATATAATAGAGCTCACCTTTATCTCTCTTCATCATAGGATATCAAAATACTTTTAGCCAATATAACAGTAAAAATAATTTGGATGAATTCAGAGAATTGACAGCTATTTTTGGAACAGGGATGTCTTTCTCATTGTACAGCTGTTGGCCCGATGCGTCGCTTTGTTTCCTGGTATCAATTGATTTTTTATGTTTAAGCAGAACTTGTTATTAGCTTGTCTTGTTTAATTCATTTGATCTTTCAGTGGAGAATTGCAACATTTTTTATTCTATTAAACATATTTGATGTAGGTCTTCTTCAGCAAAGTTGATGCTGTATATCTTAAGCACTTGTTTTGGAATTTGTGAAATCACTGGTAGACATCTACTGAGTGCCTCTTTCATCAGGATTGTTTCTTTAACAGGTCTTAAATTTAGAATGTCTATTCTTGACTTTTGACAAGTTCAGGACCTAGTGCTATTGGTCAACAGCTGAATGTGACATTTTGTACGGGTAGAGCCATTGTCAATGTGTCTCATACAGAGAGTGTTTACAAACATGTTGGCATAATAACATCTTAAAATCACTCTACATATAGAAATCGTCAATGCTGTCTTGAGATCTCGTTCTGTAATTATCCGCAGATTCACATGTCACTAAGTATGAAACACTGTTGATCTGTCTTTACTACAAACTGTTCATATTTTAGTAAGAGGTCAAATAATAAATTTTTCATTCGTCATTAAAAAAAATTCTGCAGAAATATAAAACTGAATTTCTATCAGGAATGAAGATGTAATATCTATTTCACAATATGCCTAGTGGACCAGTTCATCAACACTGACGTAAAGTCACTTGGGGATGGCCTGATTACAAAATATCTAAATAGCATGAAATAGTTTGAAATAGTGAACAGAAATGAGCGGGTGGTTATTCTACTAAAATACTAAAAAGCAATTGATAAATGAAGGTGGGGGAGTGGAGAGGGTTACCAGACATGGACTTATTACCAGACAAATACAATAATAAGTTGGCTAACAGCAAAAAATATGGGTGGGCTTATTACCAGACATGGACTCATTACTGAACAATTTTGAATGTTAAGGACCAGTCTGATTTTCATTACAATTTATGTCCTGCAAAATGCCTGCATGAGTAACATAGTATGAGACATACTGTAAGAGGTGATTTTATTACCATACAAGAAAATGATCTTATTGGAGAGTTTGTCAAAGGATATCATTCCTTTGAATTTTCTATCAAAACCGCTCTGAGACAAACACAATAGTTGCCTCTGTAAGTGAAGTAATACACTTTAGACAAATCCCTATATTTACCATATATACCACAGGAACATTTTAGAATAATTTAGCAGTTTAAAGTCTTAACTATAGTCTATAATTTAGTATAGTATACTTAAGTCTTCATGTGATAGAAGTCTGTTCTATACCATTCTGTCTGACCCAGAGGCCAAGATGTTGAAGGAGGAATAGATTTATTAAACGATAATGAGATACTATGAACTGGAATTTTGTTTCAACAGTAGACATTATCACCACACATAGTGTTGTAGAAATACAGTGTATACTCTGTTCATTACAATTTGTGACCTTGAAATAACTCTTGACAAATTTGTTAAATCATAACTTATAGTATTATCAAACTTTTCTGATGTGTTTTTTACCTTGACCCTTCTCTTTCCAGAAAAGGAAGATGGCCTGCTGGGTAACAAGTCCATAAATAGCCGACCTGGAAGTGGAAACAAAAGTCAGAGTTCAAAGGTCACCAAAATCTCTGGGGTATGTTGATACTAACGTAGCATTGTACTTGATATTACTATAGATCGGGACAGGGAATTTCACGTATGCATGTCATATAGGTACCTGCATGATGAACAGCACATTTCACTTCTATTTATTCAAAATACTCTGTATCTTTAAGTCTATTTTATGAGAAAATCTCCATGAAAATTGTTTTCTTTCGTTACTTTTTACTTTCTTCATCTCTTTGGTGAATTTGATTCATAATTTCTGCTTTTGAATCCTTTCCAGCCCTTCTTTACTTAGTCATCTGATTGTACAGTGGGCATAGTGTTTTCTGCCTTTCATTTGGTATGACAATTTATGGGTGATATCTTTGTACTTGTACTTCATAACTGTCCCCTTTAATTGCCAAATTTAACTCTGTTTATTGCAATGGGTCAAATGTTTTTAGCAAACAGGATGTATTTTTCCCGGAAGTTCTGAAATTATCTATATTCAGTTAGGTATATATATTTTTTTTTTTTTCTACTTTAATATTTTAAGGTATCAGTTTTTACGCAGTTTCATTCATTTTTCTTGAACTCCTTGGATATAGCAATCTTTATGATATATTACTACAAAATTGTTGCCTACTAAAGTAATGTATATCCAAAATTATCACCCTTTGTACATCATCAGTGCTGTCTGGGAAGGGGCTGAAATATTTCTCTTTTTTAATAATGTCACATAACCCAGTGATTCATCTGTTTCCCTCTGTTCTCTTCTTTTTTCTCTTTCTGTAATCTGTTTTCTCAGTTGGTGTCTTCTCCTTAAGACACCTGTCTTCCCTCTAAGACACCTTTCTCCCCTTTAAGACACCTGTCTCCCCCTTAGGACACCTCTCTGCTCCTTAAGACACCTGTCTGCCCTGTGACACCGAGTGTCAAGAGGATGTCAAACCCTGCACAAAAACAACATACAAGATAAACAAATGTAACACTAATTTGAAAAGTCAGAGGAAGAAAAGTTGATTTCGTAACATCATTGCTTTAGCTGATTTTTGATTGGATGAGAGCTTTTAAGACATAATGATTTTACTTCTAAATATATAGATCAATTTCATGACAATTGAATTACTGAATTAAATAAAGTCTTCAAGAGTATAAGGGTTCACTTGCTGGTTCATCATTGTAATCTTGAATTGACCCTAACGTAATTTGTTTTTATTTTATACGTAATGGTCTTTTTTAATTTTGACATTGACTAGAAATTTCTCAAAAGGATCCATAGTTCTTTGCTTCCAACATTTTCCTCGTAAACAATTGATATTTACATCAAAGTGTATGGATTGGTTTGGAATCTTCCAGTCAAAAGTATACTATTGTTTTGAGGACACACAGAATCGTTCAATGATAGGCAGAAATGCCTCTAACAGGTTGCTATGTAAACCTGAAACTGGCAATTTCTATACAGGAAATAAGGGAATTCCCATGACATAGGTTATTATTGCAAATTGATAACCTCCAATAACATCAAATTTTCTTTATAAACTTATCTATACTTACAATAAGGACACCTTAAATAATGATCAGCTTATTTTAGGTTAATACTAGGTTTTGTATTAACCATAAAAGTCAATAATTGTATCATATTGTAATTTTTCTAAAACAATATAAAACATTTTTTGTCAACTTTGACAATGAAAATAAACAGATGATCACTTCTTAACAATATCTTTATTTTCGTCATGTTTTTATTCATTTTTTTCCCTCAAGTGCTAAATAACAGAAGAATAAATTTGTCAACATGTATTTACTTTAATGTTTGTTCCATTAGAACCAGAAATCGTATTCTAAAATTAGATTTTTCTTGATATGTTCATGGAAAATTTGAAGGTACAGGTTTAATGTTATCATGAACAAGTAATGCAAAATTTCTTAAAATCAGAAAAAAGGAACTTAGAATCTAGAACACTTGTATATATATATCAAATATCCACAAGGAAATGTCCGTACCTGTTAGACAAGAGATAAATTTCACCTTTTGACATTGTTCTTCATTGTTTTGTTTTCCTATTGTTCTGATTTTTGAAAGTTTAAATTTGAGCTTTGAATTTACCACAACTTTAATTTTGTGGAATTTTTTTTTTGATATTTAGTGGTAACTTTGATGCTGTTACCATGTAATAATCACAGAAATATTAATAATTATAATGCAGAACTTTAGAGTCAGCATATTGAAATAATTGCCATCTACAATGTGTACTCTTAATTGTGCATGCTATGGGCCTCCTGTATGCTGTTCAGTGAGGTCATCACAAGACTCTGCCTCAAAATGACCCTAGTTGGGCAATAACCCAGCAATTAAACAAAACAAACAAGTATAAAAACAAATATCTGTAATGTATTAGAGAATTCAGTAGTAAAGTACATGCTTTTTCACAGAAGTATTCTATCTCTGAAATTGATTAGTTTACCAAATTCATGCATGGAATATTTTAATAATGATGGCAAAAATGTTGAATTTTGTTAAAAGATGTTACCAAATTTTATAACTGAATAAATTCACATTTAAATGAGATACAGGTATAGCAGAAAATATTCTGATATTTCAGGAGAGTTATTTCCCTTCATTGACTTATCTATGTATAATGGGATTTTTGGCAGATGACATTGGGCTACACTTGATTATTTATCTAAAAAAAATCAAATACTGTAGAGCAGGTTGTTTTTGTAAGTCAAACTTTTCGCAATTTTCTTTTTAAACAATCAAAATATTTATTAACGAAATAGGACATAAAAGGACATGTTATACACATGTGTTCCATTATTTCACAGACTAAATTTTTGTTATCATTTTAATGCACTGTGTGATAGCGAAAATATCATCCCTGTGAAAATAAATACCTATTAGGCATTTCGACTTCCTCATATATTCTGATAAAGGAATAGTATCTAAATGAAGTAAGACTTTTAATATAAACGACAAATTCCCAACTGAACTGAAAGAAACATGAATTACTTTATCGTCTTTTAAATATTCCATGACTAAAGGGCCATCAGTTTCAATTCCTGTTTATAGAAATGTTTCGTACCAAATTTGGACCCACACCATAAAGACCTGATAATGTAGGGATCATTTAACAACACTAACCAGCTGTTTGATAGCTGATGCTGCATTCTTGACTATTGGTAGCTTGGCCCCAATGACACAACTAAAATCACCTTCATTTCCAAAGAGTTCCTAATCCTAACTACTATTATATAGGTAGAAAATTATTAACAGTATTGATTGGAAGGATTGATAATACAAGCTCTTTGCTTTAAATACTGTAAAGCCAGACAGTTGTTACAGTGGGAGTTTTCTGCATTTTCATATACTTGGTAAATTATTGATATATATGCTGTAGTCATGCAGTGATTGCCAACGATGCTGTGGAAAGTAATGATATTGCATATCTGTTTATAAGGTAGGTCCATGCGCTGATGTCATTTCCACATACATGAGAATAACTTTCCGTAATGAACCCAGCTTTGATTGTATTGATCTGTTCCTGAGGTTGATGTAGTGTTCGTAAGGCCCGAGACAATCTCTTGTGATCCTGCGGCCATTTTGTGGGCATTAATCAGGACAGAGTGCACCATCCATAACCAAGAAATAATGCTACATGTTCCACTAACCAATGTGTATTGTGAAAGTCTTTATTAATTACATGCATTTTCTGTCATGTGACATTGTTTGTTGCCTTGGTTACTATGCAGATGAACAGACGAGAGTCCTTTTTTGGGCGCGCTCCCGCCATAACGCTTGAACCGCCTCCGGTAAAACAGAGAAGAAATTCTCTGTCCTTTCCATTTTTTGCTCACCCAACTGCCAAGAGTTCAGGTGACGGTGCTGGGAAAGTTATTGAAGAAGTAAGTCTGGCCACATCTGCACCAGATGAGGTCATAGCAACCACTGCATCCTCTAACCTTCAACATGGCCTTGACCTTTGACATTGCATAATGTTGAAAGTCTTGTGACGTAGATAGTTGCCTGTATGTCTGCAAGCTGTCATGGCTAGATCTACAGTTGTCTGTCTTCTCTTCTCTATTTTTCTTGAAAATCGTTTATCATGGTTCAGAACATTTAAAGTATTTTGCATCTCCTTCATGTAATTATTTTTATCAAAGATTTGCCAAATTCATCTTTAGAGTACTAAAATTCTGCAATCATCACAATATCTTGTGAAAATACTTTTGAAATTCTTTTTCCTTATATTGAACTTCAATTATACTTCAGTCAGATCAGAATTTTGTTAGTTACAAGTTTTTTTAAAAATATACTCGGTATGTTGTCTTTCATATATATTAACACTTGCATGGATGTTGAAGAGCTCTCTGGATTTGTATATAGTACACTCTGCATCTTTAGTGAATAACATCATTTAAAATGTCTAGTGACATGTTCTGATCAGATTTTCGATGGACTATTACATATTTTTAAGACTTTGTATTTCAATTAATTCTTTCAATTAATTGTAAAATATTTCAGTTTAAAACTACATACGTGTATTATAATTTCATTTTTCTGCAGGTAACTGTAGTATATTCATTTTCATGAAAAAACAAAACTTGATTTTATTTCTTCACCGCATGATCATCATTTTTTCCTTTATTGTACAGATTTGCTCTGTTTTGTGCTCCTCTCATGTCTTTTAGAAATTTCCTTTGATATTTTTTTACTTCAAAATCTGATTTATCATATATACATTTCCCAGTGTTGTGATTATTTTCCTTGTGTAGAATTATCTCCCCTGCCTTGCCTTCCCCAATGCTATATATATTATATATACTTGATGCAGTGGTTGTCTATATTTAGCCATGCTTGTCATAAGTAATACAGATAAGCATGCGCTGGTCTGCACGAAGAAATATTGAGGGGAAAAAGAATCCCAGTCATGCATGCTTTGCTAATCCGTATCCGCAATGTGCATGTTGTTTGTGCATTACATGTATATCCGTTTTAACATTTGTACACGTTTATTATGCATGTTTCACTGGTGTTGCAAAAAATAATTTTTTTTTTTATTTTGTATTTAATTTCAGGGATTGCACTTTTCATTTTGCTCCATTTTTGCAGCCAAACACAACAATAATCAAAATTATGCTAGAGGCTTTTTCCTCTTACTACTTTGTATTAAAACAGGTCTGCTATTTTGAAACTTGATAAATTTCTGGAGAAAGAAAAGACATTTAGTTAGATATGAAACACTGATATGCCTGAAAAGGTACAAAAATGGCCTTGGTTTAGTAACGTAATAATGTGTATAAAATTTCAGTTTAACTCTGTTTATTTTTTCATAACTTGTATAGGAATAACCTTGGATGTAAAATGTACCTATGCTATAGTATTGTGTAGATAGACTGATCACAGAAGACTTGACTGGTATCAGGCACTTCTGATTACATGTTATGTAATGTAGAAATACTAGGAGTTTCAAAGCTTTGCACACCTGAATAGGTATACACAGACCAATCCTTGTGTAGGCGTAATACCCTTGTCGGTCATGTACTTAGGATTTCTGGGGGTTTTTTTTTGAAGAATTATTTGGCATCGTGCAGAATATACATTTAAGCTTTTGTTATATAGTGATCAGTGTATCAGACATTCTAATATTCAATCTTTTTTTATTCATTCTTTGAAGAGCCTTCAGATTAATAGAATATTCCAATGTCTTTGTCAATGATAGCAAATGATTATCATATCACCAGAGTTATCAAATTTCATAGTTATATTTCATGGAACTACCATCTGATGCTTTCTTGAAGTGTGTGAATGATGTGAAGCTTTGTTTTAAAAATAAGATATGATGTTTGGAAAACCTGTCAATTTCCAATAAATTCTGCAGGAGTGAATTTTCGGTATTTACATTAAAAAAAATTGTTCCAGGTTGTATATATTTGTTGTGATAGTGTCTTTAGACAACAAAATTTATTTATCCCAAATGCACTAGGTGGCATGAGACATGCCTCCTGTATGTTATTCGGTAAGGTAGCCACCTCCTAATACAAGGAGGCTTTGCCACAAATTGACCCAGGATGCCCTTTGGGCAATTAACCCAGCTATGGAATAGATTCATAATCATTTTGTCTTATTTCTTTTTGTGTTTAGTTCAAAGTATCATCTTTAAATCAACAATGTAGGTTCTTTGTTTTTAAAGGAAGATGTTGTGTGGTTTTTAAAAAATTGTATTGAACCCTTTATGTTTTAAGGAGGACATATATATATACCTTTAAATTCTCTGAAATAAATGCATCCCCTAATTTCCTGATTTTCAAAGCCTCGAGTAAGCAATAGATTTACATAGCAATAGAGTTATTATTGACACAGGTGTCATTTTTTAAAATTTCAGTTGAAATGGTTACCATCTGTGAAATTCAGTTATTCAAAAAAAATCGTTTTAATTACTACTGTGATTTTGCCTGTAAATATTGCATTTTGTTTGATAAGTCTGTGTAATTGTGATCCTTGTCTGGTACATATATATTGTCTATATCAGTTATATGTTTGTGAGTTGCAGCTACAGCTGAAATTTCTTCCTCCACTTTCAAATAGTATTATTAGTGGATTTTCTTGATCAAATTTTTTATTTAATGTCTCATTGATCATGAGGGATCACTGATTATCGTTGGTAAAACGTATTTGAACATTAAACAAAGTGATGTAAGCGAAACACACAACACAAAATGAAAAAATCTAAAATGTCTTTAATTTTGATCATTTTTTATTTCAAAATACATCAGAGAAAATGTTGTTTTAGAAAGTGGTGGAAAAAGGTTTAAACTTGCTTATATTGCTTATTAACACTGCATTTGAAATTCCTGCAAAGACACAAGAGTTGTCTCCCTTACAATGTTACCTGCAGCTTATTTTATCCAATGAGTTGTTTTTATCAGATGATTTGGTTTTAATGCTTAATATTTGAAATATTGTATTATTTCTTAGCAAAAAGAAGGGGATGATTATTATATTCATAAATATAGTATGTTCATAACTGATAGATGTTGAATTACATATGTGCAAATATGTATATTATTTGTTTTGATATGTTTGAAATTATGAAAATGAAAAAAAAAATCTAGATTTCCTAATGAAACTAAAGGATTCTTGTATGTTGATTATCAAATTTTGTGAAAAATGATTTAATTTCAGTTTGTTTTTCTTTTCTTAACAGAGAACTTTTCTTATGTAAAGTTTAAATACAAAAAACAAAAAACAAAAAATACATCTAAGAACACACCAATGTTTACAACTGAACTTGTTGTGTTGTTTCATTTTCATGATGGAAGATACGATGCAGTCAGTTAGGCATGTAAAGAAAATGCTTATTAAACCTTTTACTAAAGGCTTATTAAAAGATTTGAAATAAATTCTAATAATAGACATTTTCATCACTAATCTACAAATAGTTTTTTTTTTCAGAAGGAATTTTCCTTTATTAACTCCAGACTGTCAGTTTGATATAAATAACCTGGAAATGATGCCCCAGGTCTGTAATGTAAAATAATATTCACTAATTATTGTTTTGTCTTCATTATCATGTCTCGCTATGTAACAGGTGCTCTGTGTTCAATTAAGGTGCACACTTAAACACTGGTTGCATTTTCTCAATCCAGATGGGGAGTCTCCGAGGTAGAAGAGTAATGAACCTCTCGATTGACGATAACCTTCCTATTCCACCTGGACTTTCCGCTTCCATTTCCCCGCAGGGAACATTTGGCTACAGTGAGGGTAAAAAAGTCAAGGAAAGATCCAAACTCACCAACCTGCTGAGTCCAATGTCCAAGGTAAGGGAGATAACTTCATTTAGATACTATTATCAATTTTTGTATAAAATATTGTGCTTATTTGATCTGTAATATGCCCAAGAGCAAAACCTTAATGGCTTTTCATATTGGTCTTACAAATGTACCCTACAATAAGCACTAGGCCAGCTGTTCACCATTTAGTCAGTTTCAGGGATGGACTGATTGTAGGACAGTGAGATATCTTTTTTTGCTGGTTATGTTTAACAGGATTAGATATTGACTAATTACTAACAATTACTGGAAAACCATTCATTTTCATGAGGTTTTTTATTTTCATTTAATGTAATCCATAAATTTTTGTATCAAGATCAAATTTCAGTTACAGTTACAATATTAGTGGTTTCTGGTGAGGACGAATTTTCCATGAAGTCAGGTGCCTTTGAAAATTCATCTTTTCGTAAATACATCAAAATTTGAGTCCAGCAGAACTATATTTTTACATTATACAGTTAATGTAAACAATAAAATTGCTGACAACAAACAGGATTTGTTATCATATCTGCTGAACTGCAATATATGTATATATATATACATGGACTTATTATCAAGTATGGAGTTGATCGACAGTTTGGGGTATTGATTTCAGTGTGATAATGAAGACAAATGAATATCCGTAACATGTAGATAGACTGTATGTATGGTTCCTGTCTATCTATAAAAATGAATATCACTTTTTTTTTTTTTTTTTTTTTGTGGGTGGGGGGGGAGGTGTTGAGGGAGATATGTTTCATTCCAAACAATTTTCATATGGAAGGACAAAATATCTGAAAGTATCATTTAAATATAACATACACCAGGTGTACTAGTGTATGAGAGTCATTTAATGGTGGCTCATTTTCAAAGAACCACTTTGCTGTTGGCAAACAAGATCACCAGCTTCAAGCTTACTGATCAATTTCCACCCAAATGGTCAATTTTAAAAGTTTAGATTTTTTTTTTTTGTAAACTTTTGTACAGAATGTCTTTCAGATGAATATTTTTATATTTGAACCATGGCATGTTATTTAAGGACTGTGATTTTTTTTTTCTAAATTGAGTTATATTTTTTTTAATTTTTTTCTTCAGAAAATGATAGGTGATATTTTTGTTTTTGTTTCTTCTCAAAACATGATATATGATATTTCAACAATCCTATTTCACAGAAATTTATAGAAGTAGGATTATTAAATGGATAGAATAGGATATAAGATCTTAATGTTTTAACATCTGACATTTTGGTTCAACTTAATAAGAAATGCTTTATACTAGAGCTACAGATATCATGGTTATATCCGATGTCTACACTGGAAATCAGGCCTTCTTATTTTACAAACATTTATGTGATATGAAATGGTTTTATATGCAGGGATATCGCTAAAGGAAATCATTATTTGAAATGTCACAGGTACACTTTGATATTGCAGTCAGCCAAGGTTTCAAGCTGAGTTATAGATTTATATGTCGAGCATAGTCATTGTCGGTGTTGATAATATTGATCAGGTATGTGGATAAGGGAAGTAACTCTGCGATTAAATCTGTGATGGGTGTTAGGGGTTACATTGAAAAAATGTGTAACGAAGAAGAATGAGAAGGTAAATCAATATGTCTTGTAATGTTTGGTAGTGGTTGGCAACAAAACATCTGGAAATTAGAAGAAATAGGAAAAGTAACTCTAGTCTGTGATGTATTGTAAAGGATATGTTGACAGGGGGAAATAGGGGAGATAACTCTTGTATGTGATGTATGGTGGAGGTTGTGTTGACGGTGAAATAGGGGAGATAACTCTTGTGTGTGATGTATGGTAGAGGTTATGTTGACAGGAGAAATAGGGGAGATAACTCTTGTGTGTGATGTATGGTGGAGGTTGTGTTGACAATGAAATAGGGGAGATAACTCTTGTGTGATGTATGGTAGAGGATATGTTGACAGGGGAGAAATAGGGGAGATAACTCTTGTGTGTGATGTATGGTGGAGGTTGTGTTGACGGGGAAAATAGGGGAGATAACTCTTGTGTGTGATTTATGGTAGAGGTTTTGTTGACAGGAGAAATATGGGAGGTAACTCTAGTCTTTGATGTATTGTAGAGGTTGTGTTGACAGGAGAAATATGGGAGGTAACTCTAGTCTTTGATGTATGGTAGTGGTTGTGTTTACTGGAGAAATATGGGAGGTAACTCAAATCTGATGTATGGTAGGAGTGGTGTTGACTGGGACCATGTTAACAAATTATTAAGTGGGAAAATATTTGACTATATGTAAAGAAAACTGTTTAAGTAGCATTTCAATGGCCTCAATAGTACAGGAAATTGATTGGAGGCAGATTGACATGGGAGACAACTCTACTTATGGGTCACCGCAGGAATGGGATCACAGCGTTGTAAAGACATACACTAATATCATTATATCATTGTTTGAACTGTAAGTTAATGTGATCAACTTAGAGCCATAAAAGGGAAAACACAAATAGCTTGTGGAGAGTTGGCATGTGGTATTGACGGCGTATTGTTGAGAGATTATACAGACTAATCCGGACTAGCCTGGGAGTACACCGTACCTTGAAGACAGGAGAGAGATATATCACTAAACCTTTGATAAAAACTTTTATTATCAGCTACCACAAAAAACGTCATGGAATTTATTCTATAATATTTTTAAAACTGTCAACACAGTTTGAAATCTGTTATTGTTCCTCAGTGACCTTTGTGTTTCTACTTGGATACAGGCTATTTTTTGACGGCGTCGATTTCAGTGATTCGCACTCTCTCACTTCAGACCTGTTCTGAGATGGGCCTGTCTCTTAAGGTGTCAGTGAAAACAGTGGTAATGAAAAATACCATCTTGGGTTTAAACTTTGGAGTTAAAGTGTGAAAATTATAGAATATGTCTGATTATTCCTTACGACGGGAGATAAGACGAATGTGGAAGGTGAATATTGTTTTTCATATCACTGAAATAATTCTTCTACTTCATTAATTCTTTCCTTTCATTTCACATCATCACTCACAAAAATAATTCAGTGCTTTCACCATGTAAAAGCAAAAACAGAGGATTTAAGAAAGATTTGTTTTGAAAATGTGTTTTTAAAATATCACTAAAGTTAACATAGCTTTACTTTATTTACTTACAATTTTCTAAAACTTTCCAAAAAGTTTAACTCAATGCAAAAGGACATGTAGTTGATAAAACATTACAAGAATTAAGAGAAACACAAAGTATAGCAAATCTTTCTTGAAGAGATCAGATAAACAATTATTTGGACTTCTTTTTCCTAATTCTAATAACAGAATATGTAAATCATGATCAATTTCGTTCGTTTTTTGTTCAGATTTAAGCAACTTTGCCATTTATACATTTGAAATTGAATATTGTCAATAATTTCATGGATGTCACGTTTGATCCTCTGATTGGACAGCTGTCACAGTATAGATATGTTCAAGTATAGAAGTGACAATCTGTGATGGACATATCATAGGTTTGTGTTGTTGACAATTGACACTATTATATATTGACGTTAGACTGACGTAAATTCCAGTCTAGGTATCGGAGATGTTTAGCTCGGACTGTTCGGTGCAACAGCTGGCCCCGCTAACACACTGGTTGATTTCACGAACACACTACTGGAATCTTTAAACTCTTTTTTCATTAATAATTCATAGATTTTTACACTCCTGTACACATAATCCTGTCTGTCGGACAGATCCGAATTTTATCACTTCAAATCCAAGTCATGATTTTATGAATAATAAAATTACATTCTCTTGTTCAGTTTAATAATATACAACCATACATAGCCAGCTGTGGTGTGCCCATTCAGTTTTAATTTTAACTACAAAGGGAAGCAACTCTGAAACCGTTTTGTATAACAGGTTAATGAAAAAGCTTGGTTTATTGAATAACTGAATAGCTCTATATATGGGTGGGCTTATTACCAAACCTATTTACTTATTGTCAGAGAAATGTGATACTGTTTGACGAGCATACTCTCTGATCTTCGGAATAAATGGTCATGATTTTAGTTGAATGCAATATCACTTATAGTCAACAGCTTGTCAAATTTGATAACACATCTGTTCTGTTTATATTTCTCGAAAATTTTCAGTTTTTATATTCATAGTCTGTTTTGTCTTATTAGCGTCAATATTTCTGTCAGATATGACAAAATCTGACCTTCAAAGTTTCTGTCTTTTAAAAATGTTACAAAGTCTTTGTTTTGAACTCTAAATTGAAAAGATGCATTAGTTATCAATGGATTTACATACTTCTTCAAAAATGTGAGAGAATTATTTCTTTACTCTAATACCATTCCTAGATCGGATCATATCTTCTGATCCCTTAGATTCCATGTCTTATATAATCACTTGACCTTTTAAACATGGTTGTCTTGATCCGGGTTGCCATTTCAAAGATCCCTCATTATCATAGCTTGGCATTTATAAAAGCATGACTGCAAGGTCTAATCCTGGTAAAACCATTGTTATCTGTACTGTATATATATATAGAACTATCGGGGTGATGCTTTTAATGAAAAAATTCTGAAAACATCACCAAGGCAATCAATAGTCTGGAAATGAAATCAATAATAACAATGTTTTCCTGGGATAAGTATTATTTTAGCATTATTAGCAATAGACTGAGCCTTGTTACAAAATGACAATCTGTCTTTCTGTACGTCTGTCCATGTTGTCTATATCAGCACCAATTTTTTCAGCTTTATTTTGGCGATTTGGGGGAGTTAATGTGTCGATTATCAGAATCTAAATTGCAAAAATTTATTACCAGTGATTTTAAAGAAGCTAATTTTTTTCATTGTCATTCATGAGCTGGTCAATCACACATTTTTGAAAATTCACTCACATTTTACAATATATATATTTTTTGTTACTAATCTATTATATGTATCTCAACAAATCAAGAGAAATCATTTTGGCCTAAAAATGATTCTGAACTGGTCACTAGTAAGTCTGACAAAATATAATAACACCTAGTTGACATGACTAGCTA